CCTCCAGCAAAAAACTAAAAACTAAGAAAATGGAGCAGCAAGATGTCTTCACCTCAGTTGAATGCAGGTGATATAACTGGGAAGAAACAAAGCCATCATATGCAAGAACCTTCACAGAAAAGTTTTTCCCAGTAACTAATTAGAAATTGCAAATAATGAAATAGGCTGTGGTTCCTCCTCCAGACTTTTTACAAAGAATTTTTTCTTGGAAAACCACGAGAAAAGCTGATACTTCTGGTGAATACACATGCTACATTTTTACACTGGTTTTTAGTTCTGAACTTGCACAAGCACTGACATGGACAGCTACATTCAACAACTGCCTACATGCTATTAGAATCTACATGGAGATAACTGCTCTGTATCCTCAGGTTTCAGTAGCTAATTCTGTAATTATCCTGGTATCTACCATGAGCAAAAAACTAAGCCAGAAGTTGAGATCTAATGCTTTAATTCTCAGTAAAAATTTTGCCTAAGTTTCCCATGTTTTCAAGCCCACGCTCTAGTTCTGAATCAGTAAATTCAGGGAATTCCCTCATTCACAAGCCATATCACCTTGGATAACAATTTTAAGAGCCATGAAGTCCTGGGCCCTATTTATTCTATAGCATTTTTGCCATGGTCCAAGAGTTTTCCTTTCCTCTGGAGAAAAAGGACCTGTTTCTATGATTTATTCCTGACAGTGGATCAAAAATGGGAACACGCAAGCATCCACTGTTTAGACCAGTCAATAGGAAAAAAATCAGAAGTGTTGAAGAAAGCAGTTTTCCCTATGACAGAGGTCACTTGACTTCCTAGTTGAGTAACTACTGTCCAGAAAGAAGCACAGGCAGATGCTTCTTTGGAAAGAACCAGCTTGTACTGAGTGATACCTACCACTACATTGCTCCTCCAAGAGTAGAAACCACTTCCTGAACTCAAAAAAACTAACATGGAAGGAAAGAAACAGCTCACACACACAGAGAGATCAAAATGTTCTAAGTACTACAGTGATATGCTAAGGCTACTACGCATTTGTAAGTGTCATAACCAATCTGACATAGCCTACTTTCACCACAAACACTGTTGTAACCCAAGAATAAGGAGAATTCTTTTTTTCAGATTGCCTTCTAAAACTACTTTCACCTTTATGACCAGTTTAAGTTATTGTTACTTTTTTCCTCAGTATCGAGGTGTTGAGAACCTCATCAACCCTTGCAGAGCAGGACTCCAGCCTAGCGCTCACCTTCCTTTCTTTAGTTTCTGAAAAGAGAACAGCTGGAATTTGAAACCATGTGATCTATCCACCAAGCAGAAACAACAGTACAATGTTAATAGCTTTTCTCTCATTAGATTTAAAAGCAAGCTTTTTTAATTTAATTTAAATTTAAAATTTAAAAGCAAACTAAGCTGCCAACATCAAAAAAGAGAAGAATAGCAGTTACTTGCAAATACTCTCTGCCATTGAATTTTACCTACTGCAAGTACTAAAAGTAGAGAGTTTCAGGAGCTGTTACTCATTTTCACCACTAAAGACAGTTTGCAATAATTGCCATTCTTCTAGACACAAGAATAAACAGGCAGGATGTTTCCAGGGCACTGAGATTATATAACCTACCAGAAGAGACAGTGGCTGCATAAGGAGAAAAAACATAAATTTCTGAATCTTACTGCTTGCAAGTCATCTCATGCAGGACTCTAGCAGGAACAAAGACAACATTCTCCACCAGCCCCTCCCTATTAACAAGGGGATATGATCTGCATCTTCCTCCTGCATTTCTGAAGCTTCTTGTAATTAAGATGCTATATCTTTGCTTATTACATTCAGTTAAGTAGTTCTGCACACTGCAACTTCTCCCAAGCCATTTAATACAGCAGTCTTATCAGCAAAAGCCAGTTGTATAGTTTGGCTTTGTAAGAAAAATAATCAGGTTATATTCACTTAGTTCAAATGTACCTACTTTAGTTTGAAGAGCATTGACTTCATAAATATGTGTTAGTGTAAGAGTGTTTCACAAACACAACCGTGTTCATGTATCTGTGTATTATACAATTTTTTATGTATTTAACTGCTCAGAAGTGCTCTGGACAGTACAGCTTTTTCTTTTTAAATATTTCCTCTATCAAAAAAAAAAAAAAGAAAGGAACCAAACCAGTGTTTGTGCAGGCAAAATTTGTCTAAGTAAAGTTCACTTAGGTGATATTTCTGCGGTAAATAATGAATTCACACCTTAAAATCACTCTATTTTCTGCAACTAAAGGCTCAGATAAGTGCTCCCACCACAGAGACTACTGTACCAGGAGTTCATTTTGCATCTTCCTGCTTTCAACCACACAGCACAGGGACTAAGGCCGACTCAACCAGTAGGAGTTGAGCAAGACCAAACACTAAGGAAGAGATTTGTGCTGCACTACTTTTCTGACTTTTTTTCCCCATCTTTTCAAGTGAAGCAGGAACTTTTTCTTATAATGAAATGAACCTGAAGTGTACTTACAGTCCTTCCTGAACACAGCTTCAAATAGAAATGCCAGCTTCCAGGCTCTGATAGAATGACAAGATACTACAAACAAAAACCTCTTTGTATGAAAATAGCAACAAATTTCAGGAGCCAGAGCAGATGTTATTCTTGTCCTCTAAGTCTAGACCACAAACTGACTAAACTGATTTTGTTTTGGTTTGTTTTTTTTTTTTTTTAAATAGAGGGAAGGCATGCTCCTTCTCACTGAAGTGGCAGCTGCAGCATCCCTTTCAAAAACAGCCCCAGGATTGCATTTCTCTACACAGACCACAACTTCATTGACTTTGATTTCCTAAGCATACCTACTCAAAACCCTTTTTTTCCCCCCTCATAATACAAAAACACATTTCTGTTGAACTGAATCTATATCAAACGTCAGGAAACAGTACCACACACTGACAACGACATCGGGAAGTAAAGTAATTAACAAACACTGACTTATATTCTATTTTCATAGGGCCCCTACACTTCCAAAAATGAAGGTAATATTCTTAGCTATTATGGTCTGAATGTCAGCAAGCTAGAAAGAACAGCTGAGAATGGCAGAAAATAATACAACACCAGAACTTTTTCAGCACCGCTACAGTACTGCATCATGTGCTATTATACGTCTTCCATTATTCCCCAGGAATCTGTTAGCAAGTTTAGAATGTTATTTAGGCATACTTTAACTCAATTTAAAGATACTATTATCCAAGATTTAACCAAGTCTGATCACAGTTAGTTTATGCATATCAGTATATAATATCTTACTTAGAAGTAAGATAAAAATTAAATAACTTAGTTTTAATAAATTGACTAAAAGGAAATCCAAGGAAGTTGGTCATTAAACAATAGATCCCATATACAGAACCACAGTCGATAACAGCTTATTTTTATTTTTCAGTGTTTCCTTTTAATTTTACTTTTGCAACTAACAGAGTTGGGAAGTATTACAGATTTCAGACACACACAACCCACAGGTCTTTTCCTTTCAATAGTTCATCTGCAATATCTATTTGATTCTCATATTATCATCCACAAAAAACAAATTACATAGAAACACATATCTGACATTACTTATGTTCTAAAGATTTGACCGGTCTTATCTTTGCTTTGTCATTGAAAAAACCCCACATTAATGTTTTCACTGCCTGGAAAATGCATACACTTAAAATTAAGTCTATTTAATTTTAAGGGAATATCAGATGAATCTTCCACAATCCTGTTGCAGCAATCATCTTATCAAATTTCGTGATACTATTAAACACCTTTGTTTACCCAAAATAAAACATCAGGTCCATGGGCATTCCTCATAGCCCCGCTATTTCCAAGGTGATCTGATCTGTTACATGGCTAAAAGCTCTTCTTAGGGAGGCTTTTCAAAATGGCAAGAACAAGATGGCATCAGAGCTGATGATCGCCCATCATTCTAGGGTACCAAACTCCCTCACCTCAGGAGTAGTCACCTTCTTAACCCACCCTTCTCCCAGGATGCCAACTCACAGCAACCCTCAAAAACAGCGAAACTCCTCTCTTCAGCAAAAGGCTGGCAGAAAGAAGGGCACTGCTACCCAGGTAAAGACAAAAGAAGAAAGATACTCAACTCTAATAGACCATCGTTTGGTCTTCATTTACCATACAGATAGCAATTGCTTCAGAGAAAAGATAAGGGGAGCAGCTAGACAAAAACAGAGACACTGCAATAGGGCTGCGTTACAGTAAGGAGTGCACCAGCCTATATACTGAACTCAACACGGTGCACAGAACTACCCAGTTGCACAAAGCACCTGCAATTGCGATTCTCCAGGCACGATCGTCAACTGCTCACCACTATGCAAACTTTTCCAATTTGAACTCCAGGCCTGATTACCTCTACCTTTGCTAATTGCCCTCTCAAAAGCTAACCAGGCCAGTACCAAGGTCTCTATGCTTATACAAACACACACTGATGGTGGCAGGTTGCAGGCAAACTCAGCGGTTCACCACAGGAGTTGCACACAGGAGCACTTAACGGGAAGTGTATCACTTGAAGCATGTTCTATTTGCATTAACCCATTAGCTTAACAGAGAAACTGTTGTCAGCATTATGCAGTTCACTAACCAGCAGGCATTACTCAAGTACATCATGACAATAACCCCAGCAGTATCACAATGCTTTGACCACACCACATTCTTAATTATACCTGTCAATATTTTTATAACGAAATTAGAGAGTAACAGCATAAGCAACAGGACAATAAAACATTTGTCATGTCGTAATCACAAATCATAAGGGAAAAAATATATATTGGTTCCCCCAGATACTCAAGAAAACCACAGATTCATGAAAAATCACATTTTTGAAAAAATAAGTTGATGTGTGCCACATTTCTTAATGTGGATGCCTTAAAAAGGAATTTGTATTTAAGTTCACTGATCATTTGCCGTTTTCTCCCTATTTGCTGTGGATTTCTACAATATCTGAAAGCACTGTGGTTTTCCAGACTCCCATTGTAAGAAAAATTCAATAGGTTTACTTACGCATTAGGTTGTAAATGTGCTTTTCTGCAACATGTTCCGTAAACAGCTTTATAAGGTCATCTTTTAAGTCTCTGTTAAGCTTGGTTTCTATGTAAAATTTATTCTGGAAAATAAGACAGAAGTTTTCAAGTTTGTTTTTCATAATAGCAAACAAAGTAAACTTACTTTTTCCCTGAATAAAAATAGTTCAACATTTTAAAGCTGTAGCATATTTGACCTGTAAAGTGCTTCCTTGGTGACTGCATTTATACTTCATAGAACATTCCTGTACAACAAAACACATGTATTCAAAATCAAGAATGCATGTGGTACTATTGGTAACAAACCTACTTACACACAGGCGTGAATATTTTTTTTTCTATATCTACAGATATATCTTCATATCAATCCAGACTGGAGAGTTTGCAGAAAAAACACTTCATTTTAGAACTCTATAAACACTCTAACACCAAAATAGGGCTGGACATCATGTTTATAACAAAACAAAATATTTTTACCCATGTCTTAAAATAGGTATGTTACAATAATAAATCATCAGTACAGCTATCCGCTTCTGTGGCTTATCGATAATCTCCGAGGATAGCTACTCAGAATTATTCAGCTGTGGAAATAAGTGATATATACAAATCTATACGAAACTGAACTACATTAAAATTTTTAGGATTATGTTATCTTGACCCATTCAGCATTAATAATAAATTCATCTCTTCAAGTCTCAAAGGAAATTCTGTTCATAAGTTCCTTAAGGGCCTCTATACCTAATATACTATTTGGTGTTATTCCTCAGTTCCTGCAATAAATAGTAAGATTTCTTGTCTGTATGTTATTCACAGGTGGGTTTTAAATGCTGGAAAAAATAATTGTTTCAAGATAAAGCTCCTCATTGCAACACTAATGTGGAATTAGAACAACTGAGTTCATCTGGACAATTTGTGTAAAAGACTTAAACAGATACTGTAATAGAAAATCAACTTAACCAAAAATAATGTACTGGAACACTTATCTGATAGATTTACTACAGGAAGAGGTATCTTAAAGAGAAAGGTTTTTCCACACTTTAAATGAAGTTGTTCTCCTATTTGCTAAAGCATTTAACGTAACTGGAACAAACCCTCAGAACACTATTAGAGCACCCTACTTTTTCTGTGAAACCCATTCTCCTGGCCATTACCAAAACGATACACATACCACAATAAACTGTCCACGCAGAAACCACCTAAATTTTCCAGGCAAGCATTGAGCAGCAGTTATTTACCTTTAATGAAAACTGCACCTGTTAGAACAAAGGCAACCAAAGGCTGAATACATGCCCCTATGGAAGATGTAGGTTTGTTGCAGTGACAGACAACAACCTTCAAAAGGATTTTTTAAAAAAATGTACTAACATTGTTTCCCCATCACCTGGGCCTGTTGTTTGAACAGACTGAGGGAAAGGCTCTGCAGACAGAATAACCTGTCTTGTGAGAAACAGACTAACCTATTTTTGGTCAATGGTGAATTGCCATTGCAACAGAAATTCACAGCAACTGAAGATACACATCTTCTGGGAAGTGCTAAGCTACACATTATACTTCTTTCACCAGACCTAACTTCATAAACCATTTCCACCTTGAGCTTACATACTACCACGTACCCACTGGTGCAACACACAGGAGTATCCAGAGCATCTCAGCCCGAGTCTATTGACCTGAATCAAACTGACCCAAATCAAACCTGACAATGTCAAACCACTGACTCTTATAAGTTCACAGATGAGATGCACCCAGTTAGGGAAATAACTTACTTTGCTCCTTTCCCAGACTCAAGACCTTCTTCCATTAAAAGCAGCTGGCAAGAAAATGTGCAAACCGTGATGCTTTCTTTTGTTCAAGGGTTGGAAAGCCTATACCTTAATTATCATAACTGGAAAAGCAACAAAAACCTCCAGCAGTTTTAAGCAGAAGAGTTACAACACAGTACTCGTACATAGAACAACTGTAAAATACTCTTCACATTTCACAGAATCACAGAATGGTAGGGGTTGGAAGGGACCTCTGAAGATCATCTGGTCCTACCCCCCTGCCCAGGCAGGATCACCTAGGGCAGGTTGCACAGGAACACGTCCAGTCGGGTGTTGAAGGTCTCCAGAGAAGGAGACTCCACAACCTCTCTGGGCAGCCTGTTCCAGTGCTCCATCACCCTCACAGTAAAGAAGTTTTTCCTCATGTTGAGGTGGAACTTCCTGTGCTGCAGTTCATGCCCATTGCCCCTCGTCCTGTCACTGGGCACTACTGAAAAGAGACTGGCTCCATCCTCCTGACAGCCACCCCTCAGGTATTTATAGACACTGATAAGGTCCCCTCTCAGCCTTCTCTTCTCCAGACTAAATAGCCCCAGGTCTCTCAGCCTTTCCTCATATGAGAGATATTCTAGTCCCTTAATCATCCTTGTAGCCCTCCGTTGGACTCTCTCCAGAAGTTACCTGTCTCTCTTGAACTGGGGAGCCCAGAACTGGACACAATACTCCAGATGAGGCCTCACCAGCGCAGAATAGAGCGGGGCAGGGGGGATAACCTCTCTCGACCTGCTGGTCACACTCTTCTTAATGCACCCCAGGATACCATTGGCCCTCTTGGCCACCAGAGCACATCGCTGTCCCATGGATAACTTATTGTCTACCAGGACTCCAAGGTCCTGCTCCGCTGAGCTGCTTTCCAGCAGGTCAATCCCTAATCTGTACTGGTGCATGGGGTTGTTCCCCGCCCCAGGTGCAGAACTCTACACTTGTCCTTGTTAAATTTCATGAGGTTCTCCTCTACCTAACTCTCTAGTCTGTCCTGGTCCCGTTGAGTGGCAGCACAGCCTCCTGGTGTATCAGTCACTCCTCCCAGCTTTGTATCATCAGCAAACTTGCTGAGGGTACATTCTAACCCCTCATCTAGGTTGTTGATGAAGATGTTGAACAAAACCGGACCCAGTACTGATCTCTGGGGAACACCACTAGCTACAAGCTTCCAACTGGAATCTGTGCCACTGCCCACAACCCTTTGAGCTCTGTTGCTTAGACAGTTCTCAATCCATCAGCCAGTTCTCCATCCATTTGCTCTCCATCCATTCAACCTTTCCAAAAAGATGTTACACGTGCAAGAATTTAAAGAGACAATGAAAAATCATCTAATTTAAGTACTTCACTTCCAATCCACAGTGCTGAAAGGAGATAACAGAATAGTCATCACCTTCCCCGTTCTTGTTAATGGAAAAACAGGAAGATTTTCTGTATAAGATGGCACTACCTAGGCTGTACCAGTATTTCTTGAAGTGTGTCAAATCACCTAAAGGTCTAACTGACAGGTAAAAGGTAAGTAGATATCAATTAATCAAGAAAGTCAGATATGATCTAAGCATTTATTCTACAACAAAAAAAAAAATCATAAAGCAATCTGGCAAACATTAAAAGACATAACTGTTAATATTAAGAGGAAATCAATACATACTTGAAGGAGAAAAAACAGTATATAATAGTGCTTATCATTTCATCCACATATATATATTCACATATATTTGTCTATACAGCCACACACAAAATGCCCTCTAGCTGATAAGCAATGAAGTGCTATACTTCCAGTAAAGTAGTATCTTAGAGGTGATGATAAAAATTCTTAACTAACCTAAAACCACAGTGCTCACAAATGTTAGGCTCATTTCAATGCCACAGAGATGTAGCTGAAAATCTGTTATCTTAAGTATAACTCACAACTGAGAACCTGTTATAAAAAAGTGTATCATCTAAACGCTGATTTTAATTTTTCTTGAAGTGGAAATACGACTTTTTTTTATTCATGTGCGCAGCATACTGTGATATGTACAACCTGTAAGCATACAGAATAACCTCACTTACATTTACAAAGCAAACAGTTATTCACTAGGAATTATTCTTCGGAACAAAGCACTGTGTGCTAAGCTGACTTCCAATTTAATTTGCTTTATCTGCGGTTACATCCCAGAATTTTTGAGGGGGCTTACACCCACAGAATTTTGGAGACACAAAAGTGCCTTAGGCCTCCATGCTTTCTTGAAAAGTCCACTGTAGCAGCATAAGACTGAAAAAAATCCATCACCATGTGAAAAAGAAAACCACTAGTGCTCCTAGCAAAAGAAGGAAAAACAAAAAACTCCCTCGATTGCAAAGTCAGCCCTCGCAACTATCACTTGAGATAAGATTTGAAACACACCTTGGTCACCATATACAAGCAGGTAAGAAAACACCTTTCCTGTATTCCCACCAGTCACACAACAAGAATATGGTTTGGCGCGTATCAGGAAGAGGAAAAGTACTGCTGTCGATATCAAAACACACAGGACTAAGCTTAAAGCAAAATACTGTACCTTTTTTGGCCTCCAAGGGACAAACACATGTTGTACAAAAAACCTTCAGGTTTTCCTGAGCAGCAATATAATTACCTTTCAGAATAAAGTTTATCAGTGCAACTCAACAGCTTTGGAAACTCCTGATTAAAGCAATCACATCACTACCAAAAAAGGAAAGCTCTGCCATCTCTGATAAAAAGACAGAGTTCAACAATTTAGTCCTCTTCACTTGAAAACACATCAAAAGGATCTATTTAAGTAACTGCAAAACTCTAATTTATACTGTAATTAGGCTTTCACCTCTTGCAATTGCTTTTTAATTGTATTCTCCTCTCTAAATAAAGGAAACTGCTGCTGCTGTATGAGAGAAAACTTGATTAGATGCTTCAATGTAAAATTACAGGAATGGCTGTACATAAAAATACTTCCAAGTACAAACAGAAAAAAATGTGGAAAACATTTTTCATCCTGACCTCTCTAGATATTTTCCACATCATGCACAATACTAATAAATAAGTTATTTCAGAGAAAAGGTATGAGACGTAATTTGACATTAGCCTTCAAAACTAGCTATATAGCTGACCCAAATCAGCATTACGTTTGGCAGAAAGAGGAACTAGCACATAAGTCACTAATTCTCAGGCCAAACTTGAATTAAGCCACTTAAATGAGGAAGTGTTTGCAGGAACAGAGCTTTATGCCTGAACAAATCACTAGTCACGCTTTAAAGAAGCTTCTTCTTTAAAATAATAAAAGTACTTTCACTCTTCTCAAATTATAAAAAAAATTTCTAACTATTAATTTTACAGGTCTGTTTATTACTCATTAACCATTTTTGCTACGTTCAGATACCAGTTAGACTCAAACTCTAAAAAAACAATGGGATACATTCTTCATTTGAAGATACAAACACCACATCACAACTGTATACAAAGATAGATATGGAAATATGTTCAGCAATTATACCTTGTCTGATTATATATAATGATAAAAGCTGTCTGTTTACAGCCCTGTCATGAACATGTTTTAGATGTTAGGTACTGCAGTCTTAACTGTTAAGGACAGATTTTGACCTCTGTGATGGAAGAACCTCAGTGACAGATCTGAGCACTCAATAAAAGAACAGACCTGAACAGCTTATCTCCATTTGTAAATGGATATTAAATTATGAGAATGCTTAATCACTTGTCTGAAATAAACAAGTCAAGCACACACAGGTGGAAAAATGGCTAGCATCTAAAAATACCTGAATGCAATAGGGAAAAAATTATCTTCCTAGTTTTTCCCCAGCACTTCATGACAGGAACCAGGAAAAAAATAAAAATCATGACCAGTAACAGATCCCTTAGCTTACAAGTGAAGCTGTAGCAATGGACTTCATTCTGTATTAACTAGCTAAAGAGTATATTAGAAGACACTCAGTTCAAGAAAGGCAAATCCCTCTTTTTATGTAACAAATCTATACAGTGACACTACGCTGAAAGACTATAGCAAATTACATGATTTCAGGTGCATTCCCCGAAACAGAGTAGACCGTTCTAAAAGATACTGCTTCCCAAACTCTGGGAAGCTACCAATGAGGATAATTTTAAAGAGTTTGAGGTTTATTTAATTTAAATCAGTTTAAATTTTTTTTTGTTTTTTAAAAAAAAGTTTCTTTCACAACAAATATTTCCTTTAGTTTTTACTTCTAGGTGATGCCAATGCAAGGACAGTTTCTGGAAGAAGGGCAAATTTCAAGCTTAAGTTATTAATTACCATAAAAAAACCCAATAAAAGTCACAGCATTTTGACAAAAACAGTGCAAATTATAAACTTCTTCAGAGGTATAAAAGACTTCATAAATTACAAATCAGCACGACAGAGCCAATGGTTTCTGAACCTCTGCAAGTATGTCTGATGATGTTATGAACCTAAGCTTGTCTTCACCCAGTCAGCGCTCTAAATTGCTTTAATCAACTGACAGACATTTCCAAGAGACATTTCTTTCTGTCTTATCTGAATCTGTGCAATTTAAAAGCAGGAAACAATCATCTTGAATATGAGCCAGCAGTGTGCTCAGGTGGCCAAGAAGGCCAACAGCGTCCTGGCCTGTATCAGCACTAGTGTGGCCAGCAGGAGTAGGGAAGTGATCGTGCCCCTGTACTCGGCACTGGTGAGGCCGCACCTTGAATCCTGTGTTCAGTTTTGGGCCCCTCACTACAAGGAGGATGCTGAGGTGCTGGAGCATGTCCAGAGAAGGGCAGCGAAGCTGGTGAGGGGTCTGGAGCACAAGTCTTATGAGGAGCGGCTGAGGGAACTGGGGTTGTTTAGTCTGGAGAAGAGGAGGCTGAGGGGAGACCTCATCGCTCTCTACAACTGCCTGAAAGAGGGTTGTGGCGATGAGGGTGTTGGTCTCTTCTCCCAACTAATTAGTGGTAGGATGAGAGGAAGTGGCCTCAAGTTGCGCCAGGGGAGGTTTAGATTGGATATTAGGAAAAATGTCTTTACCGAGAGGGTGGTCAGGCATTGGAACAGGCTGCCCAGGGAGGTGGTGGAGTCACCATCTCTGGAGTGTTCAAAAAACGTGTGGATGTGGCGCTTCAGGACATGGTTTAGGGGACACGGTGGCCCTGGATTAATGGTTGGACTTGATGATCTTGAAGGTCCTTTCCAACCTTAGTGATTCTGTGATCTTTGTAGCCTGCTCAAACTACTAAGCCAACATATAACAAGCTAATGAACTATCTCTGCTCAAAAAGATTCAAATAATGCCCTAACTATTTGGGAAAGTTTTTTTACAATCAAAATAAAAACCATTTCCCCCACTACCAGCAAAGAAATATTAGGGCAGAAACCAATTACAAAGCTCTATATTTAAAAGCACGGCTTCCCCTTCTTTTCCCCACACAACTTTATCAGTACTGTTATGCAGGTAGCAAAACCAGACATGAATTGTAAGCTCTACAAGTTAAAAATCATTATAGCTGCATTTTATTCTTTTCACTTTCAGTCAGCATCTTGTGTATGGACATACTTTATTTGAAAAGAATTTTCTAAAACTTACCATATATATGAAAAGAGGCACAATGCTCTGCAATGCTCCCATATACTGTCCAAGAGCTACGTTAAATCTTTCAATATAGAGATCTGGAGGGCTGGCCTGCAAGAAACCGTAAAAGTCAGGTTGTAATTTGAACAAGAGAAAGATCTGGAACAGCATGGGCTATGCTTTCATAGCAAACTCAAAAAACTACAAAGTATTTTATACACTAAGTCCACACAAAGCAAGCCACACATCATTCCAGAGTTTCTGCTCTAACTCCCTCCAGCAAAAACAGTTTTCTTCAGTAACTGGTTTTTGCCTAGGATTATATGACCCAGCAAGAGGTCCATTCAATAAGTAATACAGTATGCCTGTAACAAACTAGCATTAAGCATATGCAAATAAAAACACTTAGTAAAGACCAGACCTTCATTCTGAAAGAACTATCTGTCACGCCTAGAATCCATAACCAAATTCCAACGAGTACTGCAGTGTGTGCTCCAAGCCCCCTGAAGGCTTTTATTCCAAGACAGCAGGGTGGCATTAAGCTGCTGCTTTGCATCTGAGCTGGCAAGTGGCACACCCTCCAGCTCCAGGGAGCACCATCCCTCACAGGAAACATTTTTAAGTTTTTTGCTGGGTCACCTAAGGCAAGGGAAGCATTCAGGGTGTTGAGTTGGAGGGACTATGAAGCAATGTTTTCAGATAGAGCTCCACATCTGGCATCCTGCACTCCAGATAAGGTCCACGAAAATCTACTGCAGTGCTCCAACAGACAGCATTAACCTGTAGCCCTAAGCAAAACTTAGCTACACAAAACCTGAATGTGCCTACTTTGTGATAGGCCTTGAAAAGCCCACAGTGACAGCACTGCTATTTTCTGCATATGATACCATCTTTCCCAAACAAGGAAATAAGGAACCTGAAAAGATCTGTTCTGCAACAAGCTAAGTTAAATTGAGAAGGGAACCAGAAAAATGGGAAGCACTAACCACTGTTTCTTTTATAAATATTTATTTGGAGGGATGCAGGGGAGCTGTGTTAAAGCATTTAGGAGTGCACTTACACACCCAGCAATGGAAGTGGAGCTGAAGTAACATGTTCCTGCACTATCCCCCTCTCCATCCCAACCCACCCACATACAGTGCTCTGCCTCCAGCCCAGCCCCTCCTGCTTTCCTTACTATGGTCTTTTCAGAGAAGGGGATGGGTAGCTGCCTGAGTTTCTACTGTTCATATACACACCCACACCTATACACACCCAAGGACAAAGGGTTGCTTGCTAATGTTGCTTACTGTGTTCAGCTTTGGGTCCCTCACTACAAGAAGGATGCTGAGGTGCTGGAGCGTGTCCAGAGAAGGGCAACGAAGCTGGTGAGGGGTCTGGAGCACAAGTCTTATGGGGAGCGGCTGAGGGAACTGGGGTTGTTTAGTCTGGAGAAGAGGAGGCTGAGAGGAGACCTTATCGCTCTCTACAACTACCTGAAAGGGGGTTGTGGCGACGAGGGTGTTGGCCTCTTCTCCCAAGTAACTAGTGATAGGACGAGAGGAAGTGGCCTCAAGTTGTGCCAGGGGAGGTTTAGATTGGATATTAGGGAAAATTTCTTTACGGACGAGAGTGGTCAAGCATTGGAGTCACCATCTCTGGAAGTGTTCAAAAAATGTGTGGATGTGGCGCTTCAGGACATGGTTAGGGGACATGGTGGCACTGGATTAATGGTTGGACTTGATGATCTTGAAGGTCCTTTCCAACCTTAGTGATTCTGTAATGAGAAGCAAAACTTCTTTTACCTTGCACCATTTTCCTCTCTGACAGTGCCAAGCCAGAAAAGGACGGGGAACACAGCAGTGACTGGGACCTTGCAAGAAAACAAGCTCAAAGATTTTTCTAAAGCATCTGTGGTGTGAGAAACGCTCAAGGCCAGCTGCACCCTGACCACCTTATCAGAATTTAAAGCACTTATCTTTATGAGGCAGATTTTTCAGCCTGTGTATGGATATTCACCAGGGGCCCTAAGAGAACAGTTAGAATTTATGTTGACTTTTTGCTCTTAGGTATTCTGAATTTATAAAAGGGTTTTTTTCCCCTTTAAACTAGCTTCTTTTGCCTCTCTCCTGTGGGTAGTATTCACAGCATACAGCAATACAGAGCAGACATTTCAGAAAGGAAAGCAAAACTGGCAAAAGAATAAAGAGTGTTATTCCAATGCTGTGGCCAAAGGTTGTATATGGTTATTCCTTATTTACGATCGTAAGTTTTTAATGTTATTGCAGATGCCGTTTTCCAGGGGTAGCCGAACAAATTTTAGTTTAAAATGCCAACAGTATATAAAAGCAGCCATGAACTCCAAGGACTCCCTTTCATATATAGTTACATACATTATTTGTTGCAAATAACATGCAATGAAATCTGCATTTCTAAGCAGTACGTATTCCTGCTTCACTCCTTTTTAACCTCAACTTTAAATATAGCTATACTCTCTGATTTGTAAAGAATTTGTATACAGCTTCTAAGATTAAAGTAAAACGAAAATTCTACTTCAAAGAACACATCAGACAAAAGGAGACCGTAGCCTGACACAGGGCACCACTCTTCTCACTGATAGTTTGCACCTTTTCTTTAGAAAGAAAAAAAAACAAAACAAACCAAAAAAACCCCACAACACAAAGACACCAGAGACAGAAGTTGTCTGGACAGTATGTGATTTAATCCCATGAACAGAGTCTAGGCAATGGTATACAGCCAGTCTGCCACCCTTTTTACAGGGGATATTAAGGATTGGTATCTTTTTCCTCCACTTAAAGATGAAAATTCTGCTAGCTCATGTCACAAGGCCTATGCCGCATTAAGAGAGATGTTTTAAGAGGGAACAACAACTGCACACCCGGCTGTCTCCTGAAAGAAACGTCAAGAGTCCCTTAATGGAAGGGTACCTGTTGACCACCACCACCTTGCAACCAAGTGGAAAACACCTGCTTTAGATAAAGACGAAAAAGCTAAGAAAAGTCCTGACAGCTTCAGGGGAAGCACTCACTAGTATCAGGGAAACATCAGGCCTTCGTCTTAGTCTTTGGAATGCAAAAATCATCGTGTTAACTGCTTTATCAGAGTGAGATCACAGAATAGTTTGGGTTGGAAGGGACCATCTTGTCCAATCCCCATGCAATGAGCAGGAACATCTTCAACTACAGCAGGTTGCTCAGAGCCCCGGCCAACCTGACCTGGAATGTTTCCAGGGATGGGGCATCCACCACCTCTCTGGGCAACCTGGGCCAGGGTTTCAACACCCTTGTCGGGAAAATGTCTTCCTTCTATCCAGTCTAAATCTGACCTCTTTTAGCTTAAAATCCCTGGGCAACCTGGGCCAGGGTTTCAACACCCTTGTCGGGAAAATGTCTTCCTTCTATCCAGTCTAAATCT